GTGGCAAGGTGGTGCTCTTCCCATCGTCCTTCACCGCGGCGAGCTGCCTGACAGCTGCGACAGGTACACGTTGTTTGCGCTGTCTATCGTGCATCCCAAGTGGAGGACGTGCGACCGCACAGCCGACTGTGAGACGCGAAACCACCCCACCGCCTCCTGCCTGGTCTCCGGGGACTGGTGTTTCGCCTTCATTTCGGTGTACTTTGGGTGGGACTTGAGCACCACCTTCGCCACCTCGGCGAAGGGCATGGCTGTTTTTCCAGCGGAAGCCCACTGCCGCAGAAGCGCAGCGGTGAGGCTCTGCAGGTCCTCCGCGTTTGCCCCCGAGAAGTCCACCGCATCGCCCGCCTTTGCAGCCCCCGCCACGGGAGGGAGGGCCGATGTCGGCAGCAGCGTCACGGAAGCCGCCTCAGCCTTCGCCGGCTGCGCATCGTATGGGCCAGCTTTTGCTCCCAGCGCCGCCTCTGCGTCGTTCACACTCGTCGCCGTCACGTTATTGGTGTCCGGCCTACTCTTCTTCCCCACACGCTGCCCCGCCTCATCGTCACGCCTCTTCCGGCCGTCCCGCCGAGCCTCGGGCGCGGCATCGTCAGAGAAACTGCTCTGCGCGTCCCGCTCCTCCGGACCTTCGTCGTCGTCGATGTAGTTGCGCTTGAACCCCACAGAACGGACGTCGACACCCGAATACCACGAAGTGGAGATACCTTGGCCCGTTTTAGGGGCGTCTGTGCGTTCGTAACGGAGGGCGTGCAGCGGGGCCTCCAGCAGTCTTGCCCGTGCCACCTGCTCTCCCTCTGTGGCCGCAGGAAGTGCAAGGACGATGCACGACATGTTCTCATACTTGGGCAGCGGAGTTGAGCTGAAGCGAGGCGCCGTGTCCCCCTCTGCAATTCCGTCGCCCCCACCCTCCTCCTCCTCCCCGGCGCCCTCGCCAGTTTCACCAGACGCCGTGGAAGGGCGCAGTGACGCCTGGTACACCGTCCGCCGAACGCGCTTCCACCTCTTCCTTGGCGCCTCCAGCACCTCTAGAGTTTGCGGCCTGCGAAAGTCCAGTTCTGGTGCCGGCAGCAACGAGAAAAGTCGAACGCCGGCGCCAGTCTTCTCGATTCGTTGCTCACTCCCGTCGCCACCACAGCCGGCAGCTGTCGCGCCGCCGCCGCCGCCGCCGCTCAGAATCGACACAGCATCACCGCAGCTGACGATGCGGTAACGCTCCACCCGCGTCCCCGCCGCGGCCGCTGGCTGCTGCCCGCCCTGACGGCACTTCTCCGCCGCCAGCCGTGCGTCCTCCGCCAGCCGGTACTTGGGCTGCACGGTGGGCACCACCTCGAGACTCTGCCGTATCATTCCCTTCGCCCACACGCCCAGCGGTCACAGAAACAGCAACAAAAAGGAGAGGAGGGGTGCCAGAGGAAGAAGCAGACAAGGCCCCAATGAGGCAACCGAAGCCAACCAAATAAGTTCGCAGAAAGCCAACACATCAAGAAACGCATAACTTTAGTTTCTGTCATTTCACTTTCTCCGTGCGTCTTCGTTTTCCTGCTCTAGGGCATCAAGCGGCAAAATTGGCTTCTCATGTCTGCGTGGTGTGGAAGGTGCCTGTGTGTGTGTGTGTGCGTGTGCCCCGTTTCCCCTCCACGGCCGCCCTCCCCCCTCTCGCCGGGGAAGAAGTTATACTTCGTCTTTCGTGCGCGCCGCACCGTAGCGTGAAGAGGCGTGTGCCGCGACGGTGGCTGGTGTGCAGACCAGCCGACGCCATTCGAGTAACGCGCACAACGTCACACACCGAAAAAAAAAAACAAAACAAAAAAAAGAAAAAAACGCTTATGAATTGCCGCTACGCCTGCAAAAAAAAAAAACGCGCGCGCATACACAAGCGCATAAATCAAATCAGTTCATAGAAGAAACGTGCGAAATGGAGCCACAGATCTCTTCTAGCTTCTGTCGCAGCTCCTCCCACACCGGGCCTCTCTTGGAAGAGCAGGAGAGAAAATGGCACCCTGCCCGCTCAGCTGCCACCCGGTCTGCCGTGGTGTCGCCCATATGAATCCAGTGTCTCGCGGATGTGACGCCCGACTTCGTACGCGCCAGCTCAAGCCCACGAGGAGAAGGTTTGCCCACGCCAATCGTGTCGGCGGTAAGCACAGGGCCAATCAGCGCATCCTCGCCGTCACGCTTCACCATCTCACGAATCATATCAACTAGCCGATAGTCGGCGTTTGTTATCACGGTCGGAGGGTCACATGCAACGCCGAGGGGAAGCTGCGTTTCCCGCCACTGCTTCAGCGCCTTCAGCGTTGGAAGCGCCTCAGGGAGCCAACCGTACGGCTCCGGCGTGGCAAAGCGCTGCACCACATCCTCAAGAAACTCGGTCCACTCCGGCGTATTCCGCGCCTGCCGTATGATGGCCATTACTTTCTCGTCATTGTTGTAGGAGTCTCCGTCAGAGGCGAGTGTGGCATCGACAACACGGCCCCAAAAGTCAAACACAGACGCCTTCGTCAGACCGCCAATGGGCATCTCTTTTCCGGCCCCCAATTTTTGGGCCTCCCACATCGCACGGTCCCTTTGAAGTTCTTCCTTCAAACACTTAGTGGAGGCTTCCTCCATTTTTTCCACGTCGATTGGCGGAAACTCCACCCCTTTCTTCGAAAGAAAGCGACGGATGTCAACGGCGTACTGATGCCCCGAGGACGGGTACACCTCCACCAAGGTGCCCAGTAGGTCAAACGAAACACCAACCCGGACGGTCATTCCTCGAAGCACAGATAAAACCCCGGCCTCCTTCGCCCACGCACCCAGCATGCGAGCTTCACACACACACGCACACATGCGGAGGAAGGAACAGAAAGCAAGAAGGAGTAGGGACAAAAAATCGGTGTACCAGAGCGAAAAGCAAGAAGAAGACAGACAATTTGCAAGGCCTGCAGCAGTGCGCGTGGAAACCACCACCATCGCGGCGGCAGCAACGACAACAACAAGAACAAGGTGTGACACTTCCCCGTCTCCGGAGTCAGTTGTAAGACAACCTCTGGGTTCCCTGTCAACCTCCCACGTAACCATTGCAGAAAAGCATGGGTTACAAACGACGCAGCCACAGAGCAAGAGATCAGCAAAGACCGAGAGAATGGGATGTAAGTACAGGCGCATCTATACTTCTTCTTCCCCTTCCTCTTCTTCCTCGTCCTCCTCGCCTTCCTCTTCCTCCTCTTCCTCATCGCCCTCCTCCTCGTCTTCCTCTTCCTCCTCGTCCTCGTCAGCATCGTCATCATCCTCATCATCATCGCTGCTCTCTTCTTCCCCGTCCTCCTCTCCCTTTATGCGATGCCGCAAGGCCTTCTTTTCTGCCGCCCGCCGCATCCGCAGAAACATAGGGGAGTCATACGGCATCTGTTGTACCTTGCGTACCTGAGCCGGTGGAAGGCCATGCATGAGGAACGACGGCCCGTACCGAGTGAAGTGCTCACAATCATCCGGGACGGCCACGCTGAGATTAGTCGACAGATTGGCCGAGTCCCCAAAGTACTCTGTCTTGCCCAGGCGCAGCGCCGCCGCACAGCTGAGCACATCCCTCGTGATTGCCCCCGCAAGACGGGCGCAGCTCGCATCCACGTAGCCGCCTGCGCCAAGAAGAAGAACCTTGAGGGAGCGGTGGGCCGCCTCCTGGAGCAGCAACCGGACGACGCTTTGCATCCCGCCAAGTGTGAGATTGAGGGCGCCCAGCGGATCTCCACTGAGGGCGTCTGCGCCACAGACAATGACAATCGCACCCAGACTTTCACCCAGCTTTCTAAGCGCGAAATGAATAGCTCGATGCACCAGAGGCACGGCAAGAATATCTGTGGCACCGGCTGGCAATGGAATGTTCATCACGAAGCCACGCCCCAGCCCGGCACCAATCTCCTCGATTCCGCCCGTTCCAGGAAAGATCCCAACTCCGTGTGCGTGCATGGACAGGGTCAAGACGGAACTATCGTGCAAAAAGGCCGCCTGTGTGCCGTCGCCGTGATGTGCATCTAGGTCCACCACAAGGATGCGATTCGCGGCAGGATGAAGTGACTTTTGCAGCTCCAGAACCCCAAGAACCACATCATTTACAAAGCAAAATCCCCCCGCAGTACGCCGCTTGGCATGATGCCTTCCACCAAACCAGTGAATCGCGGCAAAGCGGCCGGAGCAAGCCAGCAAACGGGCAGCTAAGAGGGTGCCTGAGACGGTGGTTTGAATAGTTCTCCACATGCCTACAAAAGGCGTGTTGTCGCCGGTAAGGCCATATGCCTCATCCGTCGGAATCGGCACGAGGTCGGGCAGAAGACGCGGTGGGGGTCGCAGCTGCGCAAAGGCTTTTCTTGAAACGGGGGGTTGAATGTCCCCCGCCCTTGAACGCTTCACACACGATGCCCGCTCATCCACCTCCGACAAGGTCTCGCGAAGCGCCAGATATCGTACGTACGCCTCGTCATGAAATGCAGTCATCTCCGCCACCCCAACCACCGGAAGGGGCTCGCCCACCCACTCAAACACGTCACTGGAGGCCGCGTCCGCTGCACCGCCGCCTTCCTTCCGAACGAAGGCGGGGCAGGCATAGTGACGCAGCATGTCTGTCACAAACCGGTTTCGCTCGTACGTGAGGGGCATGGCGGAGGCATCGATGTCGTGGCCCACGACGATGACCACTGGCGGTGGCTGCCGCGTCGGTTGGACGGATGCCACTCCACGCGGCGACACGGCAGCCACCGCCATGCAGCGCCAACACAATAAAAAAAAAACAAAGAAAAAAAGTGAGGAACCGGCGTAGCCGGCTTCCACGGCGTTGGGACGGTGCGGTTGCCTGTGAAGAATGTGTGCGCCCCCGTTTTCAGGGGCTCGCCCTGCGACGCCAAATGCAAGCGACAGACGGTGGAAGAAAAAGAAAAAACAGAAGGGAGTGACGCGCCAATAAAAAAAAAAAATCGAGGAAAAAAAATAAGGGAGGCCCCAAAATAAAAATAGCAACTGCATGAAGCAGGGAACAGAGACCTGAGGCCGAACAAAAAAAGGGACGCATGCAGATGTCCCACTGCCCCACACGCCTCACTGGTGGAAGGGGCCACGACCCGACAGGATCATCCACTGCAAATGCAGGATTGTTCAAATGTGCAGGCAAAGCAGGAATGCACAAGCAGAGTGAGAGAGGTACCCAAAGTTATCCCGCCTATACTGCTGCTTCGTCGAAGCGGCAAAGCATCTTTATCCACTTTGAGGCCTGCGCCGCACTCTCACACCCGCAAAGTTTGGCGCGTGCTGTCAAGTCCAACGCGTCCGTCGCCCTCAGAGAGGCGACACAGCAACACAGCCGTCCCCAACGATGTCGAAAGCGCAAGAGGAATACGTTCCTCACGCGTCCCTGCGACTGTAGGCCCAGATGTATATGCACAATGCATAGCCCGCGCGGGCAGAACATGCAGACCGGGCAAAAAGTCCCTGTCGATTCTCCCTACGGTGAAAGGAGGTTAAAAGAACACAGGTTGGTACAAACGAGACCTAGCAAGTCGCTGCCCCACCTCGATGTAAAACAATCCGCGCACACAACTCAATTGGTGATAGCTAGGCTCTCGACTTGAAGACGCAAAGTGACAGTATGTAGTAGAGAGGGGGGGGGGCGCAACCGCCAAATCCCTTCGCGTGGAGGGCATCAAAGGCTATGGTGAAAAGGAGCGAGAGAGAAAAGAAAGAAAAAAAGGGGGAGAAGGAGGAAATTAAAGGAAAAAAAAAGGATGCGTTTGCGCCGCCTTCCAACGCGGCATCCCTGGGGAGAAATATCAAGTCGTAAGAAGCAGGCGGAGGCAAACAAGACACTCGTCCGCCTACTTCGCCTCATCTGGCCGCGGACCCCTTCCAGAGATTTCTATACTCGAGCCCATGCGTACGCCGCCACCCTCCCCCCATCCTCCGCCCTGTTGCTGTTGCACTTCCTTCACACACACACACACACGAAAACGGAAAAAAAAAACGTCATGCGACAGACAGCGACGGGAAAGCGTTTCGAACAACAGTGGAAGGGGGGGAGAAGGAAGAGGAATGAAATGGCAAAGGCATATGGATGTCCGCGTACGCGGACAGGTGCACCACTCCTGCCCCCCCTAAAGACAGGGAGATCGAGAGTGCGGGCACACACACACGCGCGCGCAGGAAAAAAAAGTAAAAAGATTGTATCATACAACATGATACACAAAAAACACACACACACAACATCACTGTTGTAGAACTAAAAAAGGAAGAGCTGTGGGGGAGAAATACTTCATTTCTATATTGCCATCGTAGTCCAGGAACCATACAAACCATAAATGTGCATATGTGTATATGTATATTACGCGTGTGTGGCCAATTGGGTGCGATAAGTGGCGCAAGGGCACAACACCACCGCAGCCGTTTTCGTCATTAGGATAGCCGCTGCATCCTTCCTTTTCCCCCTCCACTCCCATCTTCCAAAGGTGTTCTACCATGCACCGTAAGAAGCAAAGCCACCTTCCCCTCAATCACCCGGGCAGACTCCTAATGTAGTCTCCTCAAATGGGTCACTTGAATGCAGATTCAGCTGCAATTATCTGTGGCTATCTATACCTTAATTTTCGCACCGTCTCCACTCGTCGCCGTTCTCTCCAAGTGCGCCAGGCCACTTGGATCATAACGGCGGCCTCCTCCCTCAGTAGCCGTTGCCGAAGGATGCCTGCCGTGGTATAAGCAATGCCGTTGACATCCTCCCATGATGAAAACGGCAGTCGCTGAATCGTGGGGTGACGCGGTGGAAGCCCATTGTGGATACCGTTTCCGATGGCACTTGCGGTTGGCACTTCTACGTCGCCGCAGCTCGCAGTCCCCAGATTCTCATCATGTGGCTGAGAATCAACACGAGGGCGGCGGTTCACTTGCTGTGAACCTGCTTCCGAGAGCGGCGTGCTGGAGAGGTCGGACCATCGTCGTGCGCGTCGTGAGGACGTGGAAAAGTCCTCCACCCCACTGTTACGACTGCCTGAATCTTCCGACATGGGAGGCGTGGCAGAACCGCTTGAGTAACCGTGGGGCCCTGTACTGCGCGTGTTTACCGACGCTGAATCCCCATTGAAGTGATTGCTTGCCGTGGCGGCATCGAGCGAAGTGCTGGCTTGCTCGCTCGCACGCGGAAGCATGCGCAGAAGCGAGTTATACCTGCGACGAAACCTGTCCTCTGCGAGGTGCGCGTCACACGTGTTCCCCTCGCTGGAGGCCACGCTTTCCCCGCCTCCGTGAGGCGCCTCACCGTTCCACTTCGGGGGACTCGCCGCCGGTGGCGGGGGAGGGTCCGCGTGCCTCCCGTTCGTGCCCTGCGGCTGCGCCTCCGCCCATGTTCGGTTCCGTGCCGAATCACGCAGCATCTGCTTCATCACAGTCGCAGGCGGGGGCGCAGCAGCAGCGGTGTATTGCCGCAGAACCCTCTCCATAAGGCTATTGTAGCGTTGCTCCGTGCGTCGCTGACACGCAAGCGACGCTGAACGCCGGGCCGCCAAGAAGGCCAGAAGGACCACACACGCATTTTGAGGCGTCGTGCCATAGACCGACGCCGCCTTCAGGGAAGGCCCGCCATTCGTCAAGAAGGAACCACCCGTTTTCGCACGGCTCCGTGTGCCGTCAGTGCTGAAAACCTCCTCACCACAGGATGTGGAGGGAGACAAGGACGAAGAAGGGAAATAGGAACTACTTTGGGGCGAGACGAATCCCGTTCCAGCGGGAGGCCTCCTCCACTCCTTCTCAAGCAATGAGAGCCGTGCCCGGGCAAAGGCCTGCAGGACGTGTATGCACCTCCCCAGCGACGGGACGCACAACTTCGTTGCCGACGCGGACGACGTCGTCAGTGACGATAATTCATCGCCGTTGTTTGCCTCCCAGGCACGCCGTGGCACGTCGTGGCGAGCAAAGTGCGGCCTGCGCGGCGGCGCGCGCGCCGCCACTGGGGTTGGTGCTTGCCTCTTCCGTACAGCTGACGCGGTCAGCTCCATCTCGCTCGATAACGTCGGCCTTGCTGAGGTCCCTCGCCTTTTTTTGGGTCCCCGTGAAAGCGGTGTGCCTGCAGCGGAGGTTACCCGTGAGGTCGTCCTAGCCTCCGAATTCGTGTGCGTCGCGGAACTTGTCGCCGGGGTCGCCGTGCGGAGTCGCGCTGCGTCCCGGTGGACAGCATTTGTGTCCGCGTCCCACGCCGGGCGGTGCGGCACGCTGCGGCGCCGACGTGGTCCCGCAGCGGCAGCCGTAGGAGTGGCGGCCGCGAGCTCGTACACATCCCTGTGCGCAGACTTTCCCCGCCTTCCCTTTTGCCTCTTTTGCTGCTGCTGCTGCTGCTGCTGCCACCGCCGCCGCCTCTGTGAGTGAGACGGGTCGACGCCTGCTACTCCCTCCTGCGCCTCCTCCTCATTCCCTCTTCTGGGGTTATCAAACGGTGTCACGCAGGTTGCAATCTCGATCGTGCGTGGAAGCGTCGTGGTGACGATTATGCTACGCGGCGGGGGCGCAGTCCCGCCAGGGGGCGCGGAGGAGCAGGGGGCGTCGGACTTGGGAAAGCAGCAGCTGTGCCGCCGCGCACGCTTGCACTCCTGTATGCGCTGCCGCAGCTCCTGCCGCCAGGTGTTCTCCTCCGCGCTCAGCCGCTGCACCGATGACAGCCACCTATCGCTCTGCTCAAAACAATGTATGGCGGCCTTGTAGGCGGTACTACTCTGCAGCCACCTTCCGTGGGTCTCCAGCACACGCGAGAGCAAACACACACCCTCGCGCCAGCCAATGTGCACGTCGAGTCTTCGTCGCTCTAGCCCTGGAACAACGCTGGCGCCGCCGCCGCCGTGCGTGGCAATACGGCGGAGATTATTCATTTGGGTCTCGGATTCGTAGATGCGCCTCTCAATCGCCTCCTCCGCGAGCGAGATGGCTATCAAGGCTTCCTCCAAGCTACCACATTCATACTGCGCCTGGGCGAGGTTAAAGTACGTCACCCCAATGGTTTCCACCCCCAACACCTCCTCTAAGTGAAGCGCACGGGACATGCGCCGCACCGCCAGCTCGTACTCCGCGAGCTTGAAGTGGTACAAGCCAATGTTATTGTTGATCACAGCGAAGGCAAGCTGCCGCATCTTCTCATGGCGCTTGGTGAAGAATGGAACAAACATCTCCTGGACACACGCCTCCTCCGCGCCGCGGCGGTCCTCTGCCGACTGAACAAAGTCCCTAACATCCAGCTCAATGGACTCCGCTGGGTTGAAGAAAGAGAACCACTTTCCGGCCCCTTTCTGAGTCATGGCCTCCGTTCTAAGTAGAATCTGCAGCGCACGTGAGTACTGCTTCTCGTTGAGGAAGTGCAGAGCCGTCACGTTAGAGGAACGAATACAACGACTCGTTTCCTGCGACAAATTATCCTCCAGATCCACCAGCTGCTGTAGCGCAGCATTGCAGGCATCCCCCCTACTCCCAGACGTGGACAGGGGTCGATGCTCCTTTCCGGAATGAACCGGGCCGCAGTTCATGCGATGGATGACCAGGCGGTGTTTAAAGACGAGCTCCGCCGCCGCTCCAACTAACTGATGTAGCCGCTCTACCTCCGCCTCCCGCTCTCGGTTCCCACTGGCGTCTGACAGTGGCGCCGGCATCTTTTCGGGGCCGTGCGAGAAGTTGTGTTCGCCAAACCCTGCAGACTGCCGCGCTGCGGCCGGTGCCTGCGCCCGGGCGTACATGCGCGCCGCGCACTCCTCCTCGTCCCTTCTGTCTCGCTTGGGAACCCTGCAAGGGCCGGAGTGGGCGTTCCTCACCTGGAGCAAGAGAGCAAGGGGAAGCGCAAGGGAGAAAGAAAGAGGGATGGGGAAGGACAGATAAGAAAGAAAACTGTCACTTTCTCAAGAAGCAAGCATCTCAAAGGCAAAGAATAAGGGAGATGGAGGGAGGGAAAGGGGGGGGGAGGGAAACAATTGGTTGTGTGCCCCCACACCACTCTGAGAAGGAAATTATATACGGCAAGAACGACAAACCCCCGGAGAGTGAGAAAGAGGGAGGCAGAAAGACTCATGCCGTCCCGCAGGACCCGCCCCGCTGCGTGCCGCAAAGCCACAGGTGCCGGTTTTTATCGTACACTTCAGGCACACAGCCCCCCATATGTCCCCCCACCCCTCCCCGCAGCACACGGTTGAGGAGGCGATCAAACTCCGCTAGCTTGGGCAGCGTCGTGCCCTTCACCGAGGTGCCGTTCGTGCAAATGACTGCCACGCGCACGGCGAAGGCGCGAAGCGTCGCCTCGACAACAACTACGGCGGCCCCCGCTCTCCGCTGATCCCTCTCACGCTGCTTTATGGCCTCAAACAATGAGGTCACGTGCTGCGCGGAGAGCACAAGCTGCTCAATCTCCCACTCAGGCATTGTCCTCTCTGAGAGGTAAAATGGCCACTGCGTCAAGGCACGAAAGAGGAGTTCATGCACAAAGGCCTCACCGTCGCTTGTGGCGGTGTATGCTGCCCCCACCACCTGAAGCGCGCAAAGTGGAATGCTACGAAACGCCATGTACGCCCCACGGGCAGTCTTCACAGTTGGTGCCGATTCCTCCGGGGCCTGCGTGCACATCCACGCGTGCAGTATCTCGCCGTTCATGCACCCCGGCGAGGAGAACACCCCGTGGCGCTCCAGTTGAGCGAGCACGACACCCATCTCCACGGAGCTCGCCTTTAGGGACGATGATGGAAAGAAAGAGCACTGCATACTGAGCCTCAGCGCCGCGTCCGCCTCCGCCTCTTTTTGAAAAAGTGGCAGCACATGTAGCAGGGCATGCCGCGCAGGGTGGAAACTGTGCGGCGTCCCAACTAGGGCAGAGTGGCGACTCAGTAAAGCCATCCATACAAGTGGCAAAAGCTGCAAGCGGCGCTGCTGGGAAAATTGCAGCGCTTCTTCCACAGGATGCTTCTCAGCAGAAGTGGCGGTATTCGCAGGGGAGGACGCAGGGTCGGCTGCGGCGCCGAGCCACTTTGCGGCCCCTTCTGTTGTGGCCAGGCACGACAAGAAGGTTAGATCTGCTGCCGACAGATGCGCCCCTGCAAGACACTCACGGGTGACTCTGGCAAATGTTCGCAGCATCGCAGCGTATGGCTTCATGGTACGCTGCATGTCAAACAAGGGCTCTGTGTGGTCCAGAAGCCCCCAGCCGCAGATACCGCTTGTAAAGTGAAGCACTGCCCAGTGTAGAGAGTTCCATGGGTCGACTCTCGCCTCTGCGCTCGCCCGGTTGGGCGCGGACCCCGCCTTCGCCCCCGCACGTCCACGAAGAAGCACATCGGTACGGTTTAGTCGGTCGGCGCCCTTTGAGAGAAATATTGTGCAGGACACGGCAACGTCAATCAGCGCCTCGCAATACTTGTCCGCCGTCTCAAAGAGGGCGGTGAGGTGCAGCAGGAGGGCGGCAAAGAACACGTACTCCATCACGCGTGAGAGGTCGTCAAAGGACAGCGCGTTTGACTCTGTCCACCGCCGCCGCTCCACACGAAATGAGGTCAGCATGTGGTGGCAGTGGTAGGCCGCGTAGCGTGCGGCATCCTCGTGAAGCAGCGCCTCCGCACCGTCGCTGCAGACGGCCTCATCCCCGTTCTTTGCCCCCTCCGCGGCAACTGCGCTCATCCGTCGTCCCTTTTCGACGAGGTGCAAGGCACGCCTGAGCGGAATTTGATACTTCGCAGCGTCGTGCAGCCCAACAGCTCTGCCGCGGCTCTCGGGGACGCCGCCTGTGAGAAGCTGCCAGCGGTGGGTGAGTGCCGCCGCCGCCGTCACGCGCCGCCACGGTGACCAACGCCTCATGCACAGCCGGCGCGCCCGCCCCTCGTCATGAATGGCGCAAAGCTCTCAAACGTGGCAGCAGCACCGGCACGAGGTGGGCGCTAGGGAGGGCGGCAATTTGGGGATGCGAGCTCCCAGCCTCCTGCTGCAAGTATGCAATAAAGAGCAGAGAAACGGCGAGGAACCAGAAACAAAAAAAAAGGCAAAACAATAGGGTGTATGCAGCCACCGGAAGACGTTACAAAACCTCAGCCTGCAGCACTTTGTCCCACTCCCTCGCAGAAATGGGGCGCGGGAGCAAAGAAAAGCAAAGCAAAGAAGCGGGAGAAACACCCTCCACCCGTGCAGGTGCGTGGGTTAATTCTTGTCCCTGACTTTTACTCGTGCTTGCATGCCTCGATGCGGTGCTGTTAATCTTTGTTTTTATCACCCTCGTCGTCGTCTTCCTCGTCGTCTTCGCTGCCGCCTTCCTCCCGCCTGTCAGACACTTTGTGGATCACGCAGCAAAACATTGGGCCCAACCCCCCGGCGGTGTCCGGGAGGACAACGTGGCCGTAGCGCGTCTTCTCGCCCACGTTGCGCAGCGTTGGCGCCTGCACCTCCACCTGGCAGCGGGTTCGCCGCAGCACGTCCCCCACGACCTCGTCATTCTCCAGCGGGGAAATGGAGCAGGTGGTGTACACTACACGGCCGCCCGGGCGGCAGGTCTCTACGGCCCGCAGCAGCATCGCGCACTGTCGGCGGTGCAGCTCCGTCGAGGCCTGTTCCGTCCAGGCTTTGGAACTGACGGGGGCGGCGCCGGCGTGCTGCAGGAGACGCCGCTCAGCGCTACACGGGGCGTCAACGAGCACGCGGTGGTACGTCGACGGCGCATGCCACGTCTCGGCACTGCGTTGGGTGATCGTCACGGGCACGTAATTTGACGGAACGTACTCCCGAATGCTGCGCCGCAGCCGGGCGCAGCGCTCCTGCTGCGGCTCGTTTGCCGTCAGTGTCCCGTCGGCGGAGAGGAACTGCGCAATTCCAATCGAACCCCCGCCGGGGGCGGCGCACATGTCCAGGACGTGATCAAACGCATTGACCCCCAGCTGCTCCACCACCAGCGCCGAGGCGTAGTCAAGCAGGTAGTACGCCTTCACGTTGAACTCGTCACTGACGGGGGGCGCCACCTCACACGCGCCGTGGCTCCGAAACACCTGCAGCAGCGAGGCGTCGTCGACGCGCGTCATGTTGGCCATCACCTCCTCGAATGGCAACTGGCAAAAGCGGTTCCACAGCGCCACCTTCGGTGGCGGCGGCGCAGTCAACGCCTTCCGGAGCGCCGGCCACCGTGTGCCGTAAGCTCTGGCGTAAAACGCCTCAAAGTCCACGCCGCGCTTTGTGCCGCCGGCACCGCCACGTGGCCCCCTTCGCCTCGGTGGCGGCATTTCCCACTTTTTTCTTTCTTTTTTTTTCGTCACCTGCGCGCGAGTAGTTGTGTAACGGCGGTCGTGTGAAGAACGACGAGGAAAAAAACAAACAAACAAACAAATATGAGGCGGGTAGGTGCGGAGGTATTTGTTTGGCCTCTCAACCCTGCAGCACGTGAAGGAGAGGCCCGCTCGCCACTCTCCCCCTCGATCCCACACGCACACGCGGGCTGCAAGCGCGGCGCACGACAACCGAAAAGGAGGCGGGCCAACGGCGCCCGGAGGCCGCGGGGGACGCCGCTGATGGAAGGGGGCCCACACGGCCCGCCGCATTCGTTAACGGAAAGGCACACACATCAACGTCCCTCAGCTACCTCCTGCCTCTCCTCCTTTCTTTCTCTCTCTCTCTGTTTAGTCCTCACTTCTCGTCTTCCGTTTGTTTCTCTCCGGCTCTCCCACTCCCTTCCTTCCTTGCGGCCGCTGGGATAGACGCGGTAACCCAGAGCTCCGGCCTCACGCACCCAACCGACTTGCCGCTATCTGCCTCCCGCCTCCCCCGGCATTCCTTCTCCGTGCCGAGGTTGCTCTGCTCTCTCCGATTCTGTTTTTTTTTGTCTGTTTGCCTGATTTCTCTCTCTATCGTGTTCCTCGGTTCCCTCACCGCACGACTAACCCAGGCGCCGCGGCGACATCATCACCCTCCACGCCTTTCCAGCCACCTCCACCCGCCAACGACGAAGCCTGCTACGCAGGCGGGTGAAGTACATCGGTGTCCGTCGCGCCCACGTCCTGGTCGCCATCGCCGAGGCCCACTACTTCCTGCAGATTGGAGTACGGCGGCGGCGTGTACCGCGTGGCCATGTACTTCTCACCTCGAAGCGGCTTCTGCAGCTCGTCAATCATGGGAGCCTTCATCCATGCACATCCGGTGATGGGGTCCGCCAGCTGCGCCCAGGCACGATCAATGGGGTCTGGCGACTGGCGAAGCAGGCGCCCGTCCCAGTTGCGCATGTATTGTGTCGGCACCACCTGCGGCCCCTCCACGCGCACGTCGTGTGGTACTTCAGCCACAAAGTAACGCACGGGGACACGCCAGTAGTACTTGGGGGAAGTTTGGTACAGCTGCGCCGTTGGAAAAACATTGCTGGGGTCAACGGTAATTCCTGTCTCCTCCCATAGCGTGCGAACGGCGGCCTCCTTGTAGCGTTCGTACAGCAGTGTCCACTTTCCTGGCAGTTTAAGCGAAATGGGTGGGATGTCGGGTGGCCGCATCTCGCGATTGATGCGGCGCAGCATGAGCCACTCCACCTCCTTCGAGCTGGGCACCCGTCTAAAAACACCTAGGCGCACATACACAGGATCCTGCTGTATAGCCGCCTCCATCAACTTATGGCAGTTGAAGATCCCACGCTCAGATCCAAAGAGGTACACGGTAATGTCCACATCATCGGCCACCTCGTAGGCGCCTCCCTCACCGCCGTCGCCGGTGTCCTCCGACAAGCGCCCGGGAAAGGTGGGCTCCAGCTCCATATGTACCCCTGTTCTATACTTCAGCTCAGCTGCCCACTCCCGCATTGGCCCCGACACCTTGCGGGCCAATGCCGCCTTCGTCTGCCATTTGTATACAAAAGAATTTGTGAGGAGGTCAAAACGGGCGGGCGGCCGCGCCAGCTTCTCCAAGTAAATGGTGCTCGTGCTGCCGCCCATCGCCGCGACTTCTAACGGGTGCTGCTGCATGACATCCAGCGGGGCCGCGTGTCCCTCCGTCTCCAGCGCGGAGGCGAGCTCCCCGCGGAGGGCCTCGTCATCGCTGAGAAAGGCGCTGCTATCGGAGGAGCGATCGTCACCTGAAACCCCGCGCCGCCCAACGAGCCCCCACAACGGCGCAAGTGGAAGGCCAGACCAGCGCCGCATCTGTGGTTGCGACGCAGTGATGCTAGATGCGTTCCCGCCGCCGCCGCCGCTGCTGCTGCTGCTGTGTTATTATTATTTTATTGTTGTTGCCCTCGTCGGCGCCCCCTGCAGTACGTTCCCTCTTTCTCCACCACCGGCGACTTCCTGCACGTAAGCCGCTCTTGGGGGGCCTCGCCTCGCTGCACTTCCCCCGCCGCCCTCTCGCCGCTGACCGGGCGGTGAGTGCGGCGCCAATGAGCAGGGGAAAAGGAAAAAAAGGAAAACGAAAAAAAAAAAAACAGCAACAACAACGAACAATGAGTGAAGCCCGATGTAGAGGCGAAGGGACACTTCAGACACGCCCGCCGACGGCAGAATCCAAACTGCGGAGAGACGCCGTGACTCTTCTTGGCGCTGATGTCGCCTCTCTCATTTGTTTTCTCGCGTGTTCGCGTGTTCGACTTTGCCGCCGCAGCTGGCCCTCAGAGGCGTTCAAACGTAAATGTGAGTAACAGTGAATAAAGAGGGGGGGAAAGGCCGCCCGTCCGGCTATTCGGTGGCGGTTAGGAGGGCCGTCTCCCGCGCCTTCTCCAGGTGCCTGCGCAGGAAGTCACGCTTAAGCGGCGTCACATTTCTTCCAACGTTCAGGTTCAGCTCGTACGGGTCCTCGATGCACCACTGGTAGTTAATCTTCTCGCCGTTCATGCGGGCGCGATCCTCCGCGTTCTTCGTCCAGTTCAACTGCTCCTTCGTCGTGATGCCCGGGCGGCTCAGCGAGATGACGTGGTGGGCCGCGTCAAACTCGTGTAGGTAAAACTGCAGGAAATCCAGCACCTGCTCGCCCAGCTCCGCCCCGTCGTTCCGCGGCGGCTCCAGCGGCAGGTACGGCGGCACCGGCGGCACCTGCGCGACGTCTATGGCGGCGGGCGGGATGAAGCGCAGGGCGCCGCGCCGCAGCAGGTAGTAGACCACCATCAAGTTGAACCCGTAGGAGGTGATGCTGCCGCCAACCACGGAGGCGTTCAGCCCCGCCCGCTTGCTCCACCGCTTCACCCCCATGCTCAGCCAGCGGCACGGCGGGTCCTGCTCAAAGTAGGCCCGCAGCAGCGCGCTGTTGCGCACCCCGTTGCGTCGGTTCACGGTGATGTCGAAGTCCACGCTGCTCCCGTCCTTCACACGAACGACCGGGACGCGCGTGCGCCGCACCTCCTCCACGTTCCACGAGAAGTGCCTCTGCCGCACCACCCTGGCCAGTTTTCCAAGGAACTCGGCCTGCAGCCCCTTCGCCACCTGCGTCGCGGCGTCCTCGCCCTTCCCGTCCTCCACGTCCGTCTTGCTGAGCGCGACAAAGTCCACGTCACTGCCTTTTTCGTGCACGCCGTAAACCGCGGTGGAGCCGAACATGTACAGCCGCATCGCCGGGTCCACCGCCGCGACGCACTCCACCACGACGCGGTACGCCTCCTCCACGCGGCGCGTGTGCAGATCCTGCGTGGAAAGGTGCCGGAAGGCCCTCGTGACGCTCCGCCCCACGACCGCAGCCGCTGGGGGCATCCGCTGCTTCTGCCGCTCGATAAACCCTTCACGCAGGAGCAGAAACCCCAAACACGCATGGGAGGGGGGAAAAAAAAGAACCGTTACGAAGCCGCACTGGAAACCGGCGCAAAATGCGACAACCCACAACTCCCTCCCTCCCGTCAGAAACACCCAGACAGACACACGTGCAAAGCACACGCCTGCTTCAAAGGGAGAGGCAAGACGTGGGAAGTACACACACACGCACACACCACACAAGGAAAAAAAAGGCCTCCGTTGTCCCTGCACCATCCTCGTGCACCCTCCCTCCCTCCCACGCAACAGCAATGCACCCCAACCAAGGCGAAGCCAGAAACACGTAAAATAGTTTTTAATTACAAAAAAAAGTATAACAAAAAAGAGAGAGAACAGAAAAAAATAAATAAATAATAAACAAGGCAAACACATAAAAGGCTCTGTAATGGTAAGGTGAGATTCTGTGCCGCAACAGATGCGCGACAAAAACACCGCGAAGAAAAAAAAATTGAAAATGAAGAAGAGGGAGAAAAACAAAACAAAAAAGTGAGCAAAGGGTGTCACTCCAACTGTTTTTCCATTTCCGACAAGGACACCAAAATGTCGGTTAGTTTGGAAGAAAGCCCTTCTGTCAACCGCTCCTCCAACACATGCATCTGGGCGACCAATCTCTGTATGGAGTCCCGGCTCTCCATCTGGTGGCGCACCACAACGCCGTTGATGTCCCGCACGCACCCGTGGAGGCATCGAATGTGTTGCACCAGCTGTCCGCGCGGGGAGGGCGGTGAGCACGGCGTGTGGCGCGAGAACGAGGGACTCGCCTGCGTCGCCCCCAAGGGGTCTCCCGGCGTCGGTGATGCAGACTGCTCACCTCCTCTTTGCTCCGCCTGCCCCCGCCTTGCATCTAGTGGGGTCTTTGACGCCTGGACCAGTTCTTGCGTATGCAACGCCTCCCCGAAGCACACGAAGCGCCCATTCGCCTGGGCTGCCTCCCGTTCCCCTTTCCTTTCCCCCTGCTCGCCACGCAGCGGCGTGTGCCCCGCGTCCACATCATCTCTGCCGAAGAGCCTGAGACGTGCATTCACCACGTGCGGCTGCAGTGGCCGCAGAGGCGGGTCAGGCGGTGCTCCTGACAAGAGACGCGGCGGGGTATAGCGATGTGGTGGAAGCGTATTCGAATCGGACGTCGATAGCTCCCGTCGCATTGCCGCAGCTGCCCCTCCCCATTCCTCCTTCCCATTTCCTTCCCCCACCCTCTCTTCCTCTCGATCTTCTGCTCTCGGAAAGTCTTCTGGAAGTGGCGAGAACGGATCCAAGTGCGCCTGCGCCTTTTTCTGTGCCCCTGGCACCGGAGCAGCCCCGCCTGGGGGCTTCTGGCACAGCAAGTAACGCACCCGTCGGGCGTTACGAGCAACAATGGCATTTGCATGCGACTGCAAACGTCCTGCGACCCGTGCGGCAGCCTGTGAGGTCGGGGCAATGTGGAGGTCAAGGCCGACGATGCGCTCTGACCGCTCCAGCCCCTTCAGCAAAAAACCTGCCACGACGTCATCGAGGTGATGCATGTCTAGTACCATGTGCACCCCATTCAACCAGGTCCCGCGTGGTGAGGGCGACCTCACGGTCTCCGAGTTTGGCTGTTGATGCGAGTGCAGTCGGGCGTACCCGCAGGGGCGGCATGCGCCGCGGGGGATGTCTGCTTCACACACCGCAGCGTTGCGACGTGGATTGGGGGCCGGGGACGGCCGCTTCGAGAAAGGCGTATGCGGACAGCGCCCTGCAGGGCTCTTGGCGGGCCGCACCGCCGAGGTCGCCCTCGAGTTTCTTCGGGCAAAGGTAAATTGCATAAAAGCCGACATCATCATCCTTGACTGCAGCACACTGATGCCCCCCACCAGTCGCACATGCTGCAGACTGCGGCAACGTGCGGCTCCGAGCAGCAGGAGCCGCAAGGACTCCGGGGGCGTGAATTGTGTGTGGACGGTAAAGGCAGTCAGCGAGGTGCTGGACTCCAGCAGGGGCTTTAGCTGCTGCGCCACCGTCACCGGGACGGCGTGCAGCGGCGTGTTCCCTAGCGTCAGACGAGTGGCGGTGTTATGCAGCAGCGCCGCAGCCGTCAAAGTCGTCATGACCTTCTCTGGTTAACGCTTCGCTGCTGTGCGCACTTTCGCCGTGCGTCCGGGGGGGCCGCCAGAACCAACTCTGCCCCTCTCTGCTCCCCACGACACTCGCAAAAAAAAACTCGTTTTCCCTTGTGGTTTTTCTCCTGTCTTTCCCTTCACCGCAAGGAGGAGGCAGATAGAGGGAGCGGCAGGCACAAGTCAAGGCAGGTACGACGTGCACAGGGGCCGCAGCTCTCCCCGGCACGGCGATGGTGGGCGGCCCACAGAGAAGGGGAGATGAAGACAAAAAAAAAGACGTCGAAAGGGAAGAAAAGGAGTATTTGTCCTTCTTGTCGATGTTGGCTTCACGTTGGAAGTAGATATGTGCGCCTTCAGTCAAGCCCACCGCCGTTGCCGTGCAGGTGCCGCGACGCCTCGCGAGAGGCCTGCAGGAGCTCCTGCTCCACGGCCTCCAGGCGCTTTGCGTGTGCCGCGTGGATGTCGATGACCCGCACGTAGACGAGCTGGTGGTAGAGCGCGAGGGTCGCGACGGCGCCCGCGGCCAGCCCCGCAAGTTTTACGCGCAGCATCGTCGTCGCCGCCGCCGCCAACTTCCCTCTGCGGGCGACAGAGCCGTTTTACTACGCCGCAGTCGAGCTACCACGCCCCCGCCCCGGTGCTGCCCCCCGCGAGCAACCAAAGAAAAGACAGAAGGAGGAAATTAAGGGAGCGACACGCGCCCCATGGCACCGCCGCAATGCGGCGGAGAGATCCAAGAGGGGGAGAAAGCACCCGCAAGACGCACAGGCGGGTGTAGAAGAGGCAATGAGGGAGGTGCCACATGCGCATCCACAGCGAAAAAGACACAGACAGAGTAAGCGAGAGTGAGGGGAGGAGAAAAAAAGACGATCCAAATAAACCGCAGCTTCCCCTCCTCGCCCCGCTTCCCCAGAGATATATACGCTCAAACAAGCAAATTCCTTTTCTTCGCTTCATCTTCTTCGTTGGTCTTAACTGCTGTTTTCACCCCCCGCAGAGTCTCCGCGCATTTATTGTTTTATTCTCCACCCGCCTCGAACGTCGCCGAACTTTTACATGAGCGCCCTTCCCTCCTGCCCCGCTGCTGCCTCGCTTCCCCCTCCCATGCGTCACCGCAGGCGACAGGACTGCTCACCGCCCCATACACGCTCACACACGCAGGGCAAGTGAAAAGGGGAGAGGCAGCAAAAGAAACAGAGGCAAATGCGCATGTACCGTCGAGACGGGAGAGTAACAGAGAGAGAAGGGGGGAAGGAAAAGGAACGACTCCCCCCACCCCTCCCCACCGCCACCTACCAACCAACCAACCAACCAACCAACCAAGCAAGCAAAACACGGCAGCAATAACAATAGTAAGTTATAATACGAAACTATGGCGTCAGGGGAGGCAGCGTCAGACTGGGGGGTGTGCCGCTGCTACTCCGGGAGCCGCACCGTGACGTAATTGCACTCCCCGCCCTTGAAGGGCAGGTCGTTCAGGGACAGTGGGTCGAGGAGCGGGCGGTCCCCAAGGAAGAGGGTCGTCCCTTCGTACGGCACGCCGTCAATGTCCTCCAGCTGCGCCTTGAGGTAGGCGACGGTCTGCCCCATGAGATGCTCCCGGCGGACCCTCCTCCCGTCGGGCAGGCAGAACTCCACGGGTACCACCTCCCCCGCCAGCTCACGCTCCTCGCCGTCCAACTTTTCGAGCAGCTGCTGTGCCTGGTGCGGCCTGACGTCCTCCGCCGGGCAGGCCTGCACGGGCGCCTCCCACTCATCGGCGGAGTCCGTGAACTCCTCCGGCACCTCACTCATCCTCGCTGTGCCGGGCCCCGGCCTCCTCACCCACTCCGACTGCGGCACGACGCGTGTCGACTCCAATGAAGAGATGACAATTATTACTATTACTTCGTCCTTAACGGGGCAGAGGGAAAACCAGCCACTGCGCCCGGTCCGATCCAGCTGACGAATCTGACTTCCCTGCGGGGAGCTAATGCACGCCACCAACCTAAAAGAACAACGACAGAAGAAAAAAAAAAAAAGTAGAGAGTGCGCGTCCAACGCCACATGCATCTGCACGTGAGTCCACAGACTGCATCCGTGACGCAGAAGGTGATAGTACAGGGCCGCGCACACGCATCACCCAAAGAGAAAAAAAAAAGGAAAAGAGAAAAAGCTCAAGTTACCACTTTTCCAGCGTTAACCACCCACCCCGGCAGCGCCACATATTTACTGGGGACAAAAAAAAAACAGGCGATCAAGCCCCCATTTCAACCCCCAGCCCCGCGAGACAGCAAAACCTAGAGCGGCTCCGCCAAGTACATCGGCGTTCGCATAAGCGCCAGGGAAGGGAAGTACGACTTCTCACAGCTCAATGAGATCCATCACCCGCCGCAGCATGGACTCAACGGAGTCTCTGTACCCGAGCAAAGTCACGTTGCTCGGGTCCCGTACCTTGGCGACATGCACCCAAAGGGGACCACTGTTAATTTTCGGCGTGTAAGATTCCCTGCTGTCCGCATCACTCGCTTGCGCGGTATCATCGCCGTCCGCCGCAACCTGGCCCCACAGCCATGGCAACAGCAGACTCATAGGCACGGGCTCCTCCGTGTTAGCCAACTCGGCCTCGTCAGTTACTCCCATGAGCGACCTCACTAGACGCCTATACGCAGGCAGGGCGGCAAGCTTCAGCCACAAGGCCACGGCATCACCGCAACGCCCTTGACTCAGTTTTACCGCCTTCGTTGCCTGATCCAACGCCTTGTCGCACTTGCCAGCCGCATGGTACACCTTCGCAATGGAGCTGATCACTAGGGGATGCCGCACTTTCCAGTGCTGCACCGCCTGTGCCGCCGCACGACCCCGCGCTGCAGGTGCCTCAAGGTCAATGGAGAGCGACACCAACTCTCCCACAGGAACAGTGAAGGAGCCATTCTTTTTAGGCAGCAGCTGCAACGTTTCCTTCACAACTTCCAGTGCTGTTTCACGACCCCCATGCGTTCGTTCCACGTGGCATCTTGCAAGGCCAAAGGCGGCATGAATTTCCGCCTTCTTACTCGGTTCATGTCGCCCGCACACGACAACGCCCTCGAGCAGCAGGGCCCGGGCGGCACTGGCATTGCTCAACAAAGTGGACTCTAGCTGCTCAGCCGCGTAACACCACACGGTGGGGGAGAAACGACAGTGCGCCAGTCCAAGGGCTTTCGTGTAGATTTGACGCAGCTCAGCGATAAAGGCTGACGTGTTGACGCCTCGCATCGCCGCGTCGTCCAGCAGCCTCTTCATCCGTGCACCCTCCGCCTCCAACCGCATCAGCCAGAGCTTTTCGGACCTGGGAAACACGCTCAGGGCCTTCTCAAGGAGTGGCAAAATGTTCTCCTGCTTACTGCGCTGGTGCACGGCAAACTTCACCCACACAATGTCGCTATCCGCCGCCACAAGTTCCGTGCCTCGCAAGAGCAGCTCCACGGCTTCCGCCTCACGGCCAAGTGCCACCAATGCTTTGGCTGTGGCTGCAAAGAGGGAGGTGATTGTGGGGTGCCGCCAAAGGCCAAGCTGTAGAACGTGCAAGGCTCCCTCATATAGCCTGCGATCGTACAATACCTTGGCGACGCGAATAGTCACCTCCACCGTGGCAAGCGACGGCGTTAGCAGCAGCGTCGGAAGAAAAACACATGTCAGTGGCAACGGAAGACTGTCTGAAGCCGCGGTGGCCGAAGTGGTGGCGCCATTTGCCGGCGACAAGGCCAAGGGCGTCGCCCCCGGTCGATCAAGTTCCTCCTCCTCCTCGACTTCCTCCGCCGTAGTGCCCGTCACGACGAATGCATTGGGACGAGGGAGGTGATTTGCCAGCGCCGACAGAGCAGCGTCAATCGCCACGGGCGGGGCCAGGCGCACCGCGGCAGTCATGACCTCAACCTCCTTTTCCATGACGCCGGCGCCGCCCTGCGCCGCCTTACTGCGGGCCTCGTGGAGAATGAGCATCGCCGCCCATGTGGCGCAGAGTGTCTCGTGCGTCTGCCACGCGCCTGGGAGCAGCGCCATGAGGTCCTCGATCCAAGTGGCGGGCACCGAGAGCGCGGCCGCCGTCCTGTCGGAAACAAAGTGCAAGTACATGTACGCCGAAGTCAAGATGTACCGCTCAAAGGCGGAGGCGCGCGCCGCCTCAAGCCACTCTCGCCGTGATTTTTCCTCGTCCACCTTCAGAAAACGCCCTGCCGCCTGGCGCACGAAGTATTGAATGCGTTCATTGCCCAACCCTTGCAAACCCTCTTCTCGCGTCCCATCTCCATCCCTCACGCGTGCATGCAAGTGAAATTCCTCAAACTTGGCTGCCTCAATAATAATCTGGAGTGAGAGATGCTCGGCCGCAGCCGCGTTAAACATGGCTTTTCCCGTCTCGTAGGACTCTAATCTTGCCAACATCGCCCAAAGAGAAGGGAGCTGTGGGGTGACTTCAAGTGCCTTGCGGATAATCTTCTTTTGATCCCGTGGCGCAGGAATGTGCCGCAGGACGCGGAGCCAGAGCTTCTCACTTGAGGGGCACACCATGACGGCCTGCTGCAGCCAGTGCAGTTGCTCGTGGGGAGGTTCATGCTCTAGTAACAGCAACCACAACTCCTCACACCCGGAACAGGCAGCTACGGCCTCTTCAAGGAGCTGTCGCTGCGCTGCCGGGTCCTTCGTGTACTCCAACCGCTCCTTCCAGATAAATGGCCCTTTGGCTCCAGTAAGTCTACAACCCTCTACTAGCGTCTGATGTGCCTTTTTTGCCATCCCCATCTCACGAAATGCACGCGAGTGCGTAATCCACGTCGTTTGCTCCGTTGGTGAGCCCATTCCAAGAATGTTTTCCAGCGTTTGATGGGTGGTGAAAGCCTGGCTGCGAAGCAAGTCCCCCGCCGTCACCACCGACGTCTCGTCCGCAAATGCGTGGTCGTCCACCACGTCCATGTCCTCCGTGCGTGCCTTTCGCTTCACCAGCGACTGCCCCGCCACACCGCTGCCAACCGTGGCGAGGTCGTCCATGGAGAGCAGCGCCTTCGGCTTCGCGGCCTCGTGCGCCGTGGCGGCCGCACGGCGGGGAGTCCCGCCCTTCGCATCCTCCCGTCGGCGCTTCTGTCGCCTGTCCTCGAGGCGATCTAACGCATCCAGCAGTCCACTTGTCTCGGGTGTCGAGAGCAAAAACGGGGCGGCGGTGGCGCCGACGGCAGAACTCAACTCCGCGGACGTGGAGAACGGCTTGGCGCCCCGCCCAACGCCGAACTGGTAGCCCCGCGGTGGGAAGGGCGAGCTCCAGTCGTACTTCGCCCGCAAGAGTTCATACTTGTCCTTCTTGGGCAGCAGCGTCGGGGCGGCATGCATCGCAAGCAACGAAGGTCAAGCTATGGGAACTGCCCTTTCCCCCTCCGTTTTCCCGTTTTTTTTCTCTCTTTTTCCTTTTATTTTGCCTGCTCCTTCAACTACGGGGAAGAAAAGCGGACAGGCGTCGCGGCAGTGCCGTGGGGGGCAGGCGCCACCATGCACTCAAGCCATCGCAGGGGCAACCCTCTCCACGCCCACTCGCACAGAGAGAGAGAGAGAAAGAAAAAAAAAGGAAGAAAGGTGGCACGTCATCACCACCACCACCGTCACCGTCGCCGATAACTACGGAATCCATCCATCCTCAAAGGCCTGCAGACATGCTCGCCTCCCCCGCGCCTTAGCGGGGCCGCACATCCTCTTCATACTCATCGTCGAACATTCTGCGACGCTCATCTAACGACATGTCAGAGCGCTCCAGCTTCTCGTCCAGCATCTTCTGGAGCACAAGCCCCTGCCACAAGACGTACCCGATCATGAGCGCGTACATCCAGTAGAACCAGCGAAAGTCAATCTTCTGCAGTGGTCCTTTCCATTGGGCGTAGCGGATGAGCGACTCCCGGAGGACGTTGGTGTCTACGTCGCGGAAGTCCTCCGGATTCACCTTGCCCTTGTTAATGCGTGCCTGGCGAATGTACCGCCGCATCGCGCCGTACGAGCTGTGCGTGTACGTGAAGAACTTGGGGGTATCGATGACGAGGAAGAAGGCATCCCGCATGGCGCAGTGCACCCTGTTGCCCACCGGGTCCCAGTGCAGCATCGTCCGCAGGTCATGTCGGACCGTGTCGCTCGCCAAGCGCAAAAAAGAGTCGGTGTTCAAGCCGAAACTCATCTCCCCCGCCACTCCTCTTCCTCGACGCGCGTGCCTGCGTGCGTGTTCGACGCCCACGTGAGCTACAAGGCCGCAAAAAAGAAAAGGGGCTAGTAAAAAAAAATAAAGTAAAATAAAGGCATTTAAAAAAAAAGAAACACGGGGAAATGTCCCGCAATGACGCACCGCGGCACGGCATCCCCAGCCACCTCTTGCGAAAAGAAGAAGCGGTGTGAGAGTCGCAGCAAACTCAAAGGGAGCCGCCCTCCGGGAAGAAAAAAGAAAAAAAAAAAAAGGAAGTAAAATTTCGTACGTTCCACACAACACACACACACTTCCAAAGAAAAAAAAACGGCGTAGACGGAGACGTGTGTCACCTGCGAGGAGGCGAAAAAAGGTGGGTGGGGGCGACGCTCATCTTCGCCGCCGCTGTCGCCAGCAGCCCAAGAAGGAGGTCAGCA